TGGTCTCTTTCTCCTAAATTGAAGTCGTAGAAGTGTTGATAAGGTATAGAGATCGGGCAGTATCTGAAAGCCTTCAAGGCATAGTGGTTGAGAATTCAACATCTTGTTGTCGAATGAGATTTTGAACCGTGGATTCTCGAAAGATTTGGTGGGAGAGCAACTAGATGCCTACGTTAGCTCTTGTACTCAACGCCTCTTTCGGGCGCCGGAACTGCAATTCTTACGGGCTGAGATTGCTTTGATCGCTGCTAGAGGAGCTTTGAGATGGGATGGTCTATCTTCGAGATGATGAGTTGCTCGGAGGATGGATGAGAGGGTGAAATGATGGGACCTGGGAGAGCAGCTGCCTGCCAATGTCAGCTTTCCTTCCCGACGTCTCATTCGGTAGTCGAAAGGTTAAGACTTACGGTTCAAAATATCCAGTCCAGCTCCCTTGGGGCAAAAAAAAAAAAAAAAAAAAAACAGCCTGCGGCCCAAGATTCGCATTCGCTCGTGGCCGGTATCGTACGACAGGAAGGGCTCCTCTCAAACATTCGACGTATCTTGAAGCTTTCTAATCAACGCCGCAAAAGTCTTAACCCCCTTCTCCGCCCTTGCGAGGCGTTGCTCCACAGGCCCAATGAAGTCACGTTGGAACTGCGCCCTTTGGGAAGGCCAATGAAGCGAAGGCAAGATCGCTTCAAGATCATCCATCTCCTTAGCAATCAGATTTCTCGCCGTACTGAGTTCCTTCTTCCAGACCGTCTCGTATCTGTTGATAATCTTGACTTTATTCCCAAGTCGCAACGTGTCGGGACGATCTTTCAATGCTGTTTTTAATTTTTCGTTCAAGCACTTTTCGTAAGCTTCGCAGAAGATTTCGGTGCCTTTGTTCTTGATGAAATCTAGGAGTTCTTCTTTTTTTAGGCGGAGGAGTTTTTCGCCGGGGATTTCGATGAACATGATGTCTATCGTATAAGTTTTAGTCCGTGGTCAGGTATTCGGATACAGTTACGCAACGCTTACTGTCATCGGTCAAGTCTTCAACGACAGGAGTTGCCCCAGCGGTCGAAGCTCGTGACCGCGCTTCGGAGCGCTGTCTCTTCCTCTCTGGCGGCCCAGCCTTTGGTCTACCAGGGCCAGTCCTCTCAGGTCCATCTCGGGGCGGCGGCTCGGAATTTCTTGGATCTTCTCCTTCATCGTCGTCGATCATGAATAGCTCATTGACTCCTCGCTTGGACATCTTGCAAAGTCCTTCGGATGATATAGAACTTTGAGTTGAATCTGGATTGATTCGGGATGGTGATACTGCTTTGATCCTTGGTCTCAATTACCGACAGTTCTCGTTGTGGGTAGAAGTTCCAGTGACTCTTATGCAACTACTAGTGATCGGTGTGTGCTTTCGTAACTTGAAGTGTGTTGATTGTTCGATGGTGTGTCTACGGAAGATGCGAGAAGTGGTGCAGCGCGTGTGCACGGACCATAGGTTCCTTCAATTCAAGTGAGTGATCCGAGTGATGATGATAGTAGGATTGGGGATATATTGAAGAATGCGACAGCTCTGGAATTTTGTGACTGACGACGGCGCGGCAGCGACAATGCTTGCATGTGATGGTCGAAGTGAAGCGTTGCCGTAGGTCTGCGAGCACCAGATTGTCACACGCCGCACTGAGTCTGACTACACCGGTCAACCTCAACACCCACAGCTTAATCAAAACCATCGGTATACGCAGAATCCCGATCAACAACAACGCAAAACCCGCGAAGAACATAACGAAATCGCCGAATCCTTCAACCGCTGCCCCAACTGCTCAGTCCCCTCCACGGTCGAGAAAGGTTGTGGGTACGTGCAATGTCTTCCAGGGCAAGCTATGAAGCTGGCGGGAGTAAAGGAAGGAGGTTGTGGTTTTAGGTTTTGTGCCAAGTGTTTGATTCCGTGGGTGGGAGAGGGGTCGGATTATCCCTGTGGGAGGGAGCAGCATGGGAGGGATTGCAGGTATTTTAAGAAGGTGAAGCCGAGTATGTATAGCCTTAAGCGGAGGTTTGTGCAGACGGGCAGCTTGGAGGAGGATGGAGATCAAAAGCCCAGGAAGAAGTCCGGGGCTGTTGATGGGAAGGGTGAGGATGGATTGACAAAGGTGGAGGAAGACTAGTCGAGGTGATATGGGCGGATTCGATGATGTGCCTATAAGGCGTTAGCAGTGGTATGACATACCGACCAAGACTGGAACTGGAACAAGGGTCAAAATATCTTGTAAAATCATGCAATTCAATTCTCGTGCACCAGTAAAGGTGAGAAGAACGCCCCCAGCGCCATCGCTAAATTCCAACTTGGTGAACTCATCATGCCATTTATCCATCATTGCACCATAACGTCCCCAGCGACCTGCGCCGTAGCATCCCCATCCAATCCAATCGGGAGGTTCGGTGGTAAGTCGACCTTGGCTTCTCTAGCCTGTGCTTCGGCCCAAGCGCGAGCCCGTACAAGATTGAAGATTTTTGCTTCACTTCTTTCGCCTCGCTTCTCCAATATATATCTGTTGACATTATTTGCGACTTTCTCACGCAGCTTGAGGTCGAGTAATTCTTTTATCTCTGGCGGCATCTTCTCGACAGGAAAAACCATCAGCGACATGGTGCGGTCCACTGCTTGTTGATACTTTTGATCGGTCGGTGCGCGTGGTGCGAGCTGGTGCGTAGCTGCTTCGAGGACCGGTTTGAACTCGGAGACCTGGAATCCACCAGGCTTATTGATGATGGCTCGTATCATCTCGATGATGTGCAGTTGAAGGAGGTCGAAGTGGAGATGGTGGTTCTCATCGAGGATCTGTTCGAAGTGTCATCAGCGAGATGCACGAGGACGTAGGGACTCTATCTGTGCTGCGATGGGTTGTGAAGATCATACTGAGGACTGAAGTGTAGTTTGTTTCTCATCAACACCCGGAGGTATATGAGTGGTGCATGAAACAAGAGCTAATCATTTCGAGAAAGAGGGTAGAGAGGGAAAGGCGGAGCGCTTCATACCTCGGAATCCACTTCATTGATCATCTCTACAGCCTCCTCGATCCTCCCAGCGTGAATGGCGTTGCGAATGCGCACGCGTTCCCTTATGCTGTCCATGTCGGTGGGCGTGCAAATATTGGTTTCCTGGGCGAACTTCTCGGCGGCTCCTGGGTAGCCTTCGGACACGAGGTAGTCCATGATAACCCAGTTGATGTCACTGCGGCAAATTGTGTCAGTCGCAATGTCGAGCCACTTTTGCTGCCGGCGCCTGCGGGCCTGGTTTTTTGCCAGGAATGCCAGCAGAATAGGGTAGCTGTGCCAATCCATGTCCATGCTGCTGAATCAGAGATACAAATCTTGCTTTCTCCTCATTGTGTTTCGGAGAGATTCCCATTTGTGTTTAACACATCATGTAGAGCAGAGGACGATAGCGCGTAGGTGGAAGGGGCGGGGCGGGGCGGGGCGAGACGAGACAGACCTCTTGCTGGGTTTGGCATCTTCCACCTTCCTGTCGAACGAGTGTACGGGCCGCATCGTGGGTGTCATGGAAGGAGGGGAGCTCTGGAGACAGGGCAGCGTCAGAACAGAGGTCTCCTCGATGCGGAAGGGGCGAAGCTGGGTGACGGCAGGCTGCACTGCACTGCACTGCACTGCGCTCCATGATGAGGGCAGGCTCGTGCAGCGTGGCAAGTGCGTGCAGAATGGTGTAGGAGCTCGGCGGAGCACTCACCATAGCCAGCGTGTCTCCTCCATGCAGCCCACTGTTTGACGATGCGACGGCAGACAGCGGCAGTTGTTTGGTGATGTGTACGATGTGGTCTGAGCAATGATTTTGAGGACGGAGAGTGCTCTGGAGTGGGAGTGGGAGTGGGAGCGGGAGAGCGTACCAAAGAGGCTTTTTGGTATGCGAAGAATTTTGGCCGACAATCCCTCTCTTTCGTCCCACTGTTTTGCCACGCGACTCACTCACTTCGAGTCCCATTTCCATCACGCGCTTGTGATTTTCCTGCCTACTTCCACCTTTGCTGTCTATCATCGTCCGCCTGGCCATGACCATGTGGACGATCGAGATAACCGCGGCCGTGCTCTCCATGCGTCTACGATGAACGCGCCCTCACTGGAGCTCCCTCTGAGCGCCTTCTCGCAGCCCGAGGAAGAGCACACGCCTCGTGCCCATTACTCTCCACCATGGGCCAACACATCCATCATCGGCGTGGCTGGCAGCTCGGGCTCGGGCAAGACTTCGCTGTCTATGGCCATCATTCGAGAGCTCAGCCTGCCATGGGTGGTCATTATGTCGATGGACAGCTTCTACAAGGTCTTGACACCGGAGCAGTCGGCTGCCGCGTTCAGAAATGAATACGACTTTGACGCGCCTGAGGCCATCGACTTTGATGTGCTCGTGGAGAAGCTGAGAGACATCAAGTCTGGGTAAGGGTTACAGCTCTCGCCCATCGAGCCACTGGGCTGATATCTGCTTCCAGAAAGAAGGCCGAGCTCCCGGTCTACTCTTTCGAGAAGCATGCGAGGCTGGACAAGACCACTACCGTCTACTCGCCACATGTTCTTGTGCTGGAGGGCATCTTTGCCCTCCACGACCAACGCCTTCTCGATCTACTGGATCTCAAGATCTTCACCGAGGCCGATGCAGATCTCTGTCTTGCTCGACGCTGTGAGTGATTATAACAGACTACCCTTGGATTCCATGTCGTCTAACGTATTGTGCAGTAACACGCGACGTTCGTGAACGTGGTCGTGACATTGAAGGATGTATCAAACAATGGTTCTCCTTCGTGAAGCCAAACTTTCACCGCTACGTCGAACCGCAGCGAAATGTTGCAGGTATGTGCTGCCCACCCCTCTCATCCCAACACATTTCATGATGATCAAAACTTCAAAGCATAGTTCAACCGAACATTATTGAGGAAGAACACTTACCATCTTTCAATCTTTCTGATATCTGCTCGATTCTCTGCCCCAAACACTGGCAAATGGTTCGAGAGAGCCATAGCTGACTGCTCAAGTGCAGATATTATTGTTCCACGTGGTGTCGAGAACAAGGTTGCTATCAGCATGGTCTCAGACCGCATTCACAAGACATTACAAGAGAAATCGCTGCAACATCAGCTTGAACTCCGACACTTGGGGCAGGTCGCAGAGGACGCGCCACTGTCACAACACGTCTCAATTCTACAGCACACCAACCAAGTACGCGGCATCAACAGCATTCTCATGGACCCGATATTGGAGCGAGAAGACTTCATATTCTACTTTGACCGCCTTGCCGTCATGTTGGTAGAACAGGCATTCGCAGCTGGAATGTGCTATAGGCAGCATACCGTTCAAACACCGGTTCCTGGTGAAACATATCGTGGCCTCGAACTGGATGGCGAGGTATCTGCTGTTGTCATATTGCGAGGCGGCTCATGCTTCGAGACCGGCCTCAAGCGTGTAATACCAGACTGCCGCATCGGACGAATGCTCATCCAGACCAACTATCGCACCGGAGAGCCAGAACTTCACTACTACAAGCTGGCATCAGACGTGGCAGAACACAAGCGGGTATTGCTAATGGATCCACAGATGAGCAGTGGTGGTGCCGCTCTTATGGCTGTACGAGTTCTCCTGGATCATGGCATCAAGGAGTCTCATATCATCTTCGTCACATATATGGCTGGAAAGAATGGTCTGAATAGGGTGATGACCGTCTTCCCGGAAATCAAAGTTGTCGTATGCAGATTAGTTGGAGATATGGAAATTCGATGGGTCGAGCAGCGATATCTTGGCTGTTAAAATGCGTATGCAGGAAAGAAGATCAACATTTCGAAGCCTCAGCCTCATCAAGGCAATCATGCAACGTAGCCTTACACGATTGGACTCACTTCGGCCGCCGCAGCCAGATCCGCCCTGCTGCATGTTTTCGCTCCATTCTCGATCGTTCAGCCAATGCCAGATTGCAGACCTCGCGAATGTCGAGCGAAAAGTTAAGATGATGACAGCACCCGGCGAGCCTCCTCTCGCATGGTTTGGAAAGGCTGCACGTACACGAAAGGCTGGAGCGCTCCGACTATCCTTCCTTGACACTCGACACCTGTATCCACCACACCAGAGAGATATCCTCCTGTCTTCCGTGAGTTGGCAAGACATGTCTCATCCCGTCTTTTGTCCTCGCGCTGTGTCTGCTACACACCATGTGCTGCACAATGTCTCCACAAAGTGATATGAGTTTGTCGCATATGAAACTCGAACACGCGCAGACAGAATACCATAGTCTCTGCGCGGAACTGTCTTCAGGTTTTCTTCCTTCTTTCTCTCACGAACAGAAATGGTTGCTATTCCCCCGCCCTCTTTAAAGATACATATTCTCCTTCATCTTCGCCTCTTCATTATCACCCGCCGCACGCCCATCATGTCCACCCTCTGCACCTCATGCGACGAACAAGTCGTACGAGAAGACCGAAAACCCTCAGCATGCACGCACACCAACACAACCCTGTACAAAATGTTGGCAACACTGGCTCGAAATTCCGGTTGAAAATCGACATCCCGGATCGAAATTCCTTGCAATCAATGCCGTACTCCCGCAGATATCCAAAAAACGTTCGGTAGTTACGCGTGCACAGTACGAACGGTAGAATAAGTTTATATATGCAGCAACATGCTCACTGAGAGATAGAGAACTGATATCTCGACCTCTCACCACCCTCCCCTCGCCGCCGACGAGAATTTCGCCTCCTGCCGACGTTGCCTATCCGGACCAATTCTACAATCCGAGAAGCAGAATGTGTCTATGTCCTCAAAGTGTTACGAGGGCGGGGATCAATTTTTTTTTTTTGGAAATGTGCATTCCCGTGGCATGACGACAGAAGCTGTGGTGATGATGATGAAGCGCAACAACATCGCGAGAGCGTGTTGATGGTGGCAGGCGAAGGAAAGGAGAAAGAAGCACGAAAAGAATGTCCTGGTTGTTGGACGAAAGATTTGAAAAAAGCGAGAGTGAGTGAGTTGAGGACGGAGCTCTATACACACCAGATTGTCAATGAAGAATTCACAACGCAATCTTTGCCCCTACAAGTTCTTTTTAATATATCTTTTTATCTAGAGGAGTTATAGCTTAATAATATAGGACAAAGATACTCTAATTTATGTATATTTTTAGAAAATATTAGAATTTCTAGTCGTTGCCTCCTAAATTAATAAGCTATATAGCTTAAAACTCTAAGTTAGAGATTTTAGAATTTTAGCGTTTTCTTGAGTCTTAATATACTATTTTTAGTAATCTAAAAACTAGGCCTTATAGTTTTACTTAATAAAAATCTATTTTGAGATTTTTCTCGTAATATAGCTACTATTAGTTCTATAATCTAGAATTTAAAACTTAAATTCTTCTTAGGTTCCCTTTCGTATATCCTTTTCTTTAGACGAGTTATAGCTTAGTAATATAAGACAAAAATAATCTATTTTTAATCTAGTATTAGAAAATTACTAAAATTGTTATAGCTATCTACTAGGATTAGCCTAAAATTCTAGAATAAAGATTTTAAGACTTTTGCTTTTTTTAAGCCTTAGTATACTATTTTTAGTAATCTAAAACCTAACCCTAATAGTTTCACCTAGTAGGAATCTATATTAAAGCTTTTACTTTAAATAAGCTATAAATAGTCTTATAACTTAGAAAAGAATATTCTTAAGAATTGTAAACTTTAAATTGCTAAGCCTACAATTGTTAAGAATATTCGCTTTAGGATTTTAAGACTAATAGTAAGCGTATTAAAATAAGAATCTCAAAATATATTTATACTAGGTAAAACTTTTAGGTCTAGGTTTTAGATTACTAAAAATAGTATACTAAGGCTTAATAAATACTAAAATCTTAAAATCTTTACCTAAGAGTTTTAGGCTAATCTTAGTATATAGCTATAATAGTTTTAGTTATTTTCTAAAAATACATAAAAGTTAAAGTATATTTGTCTTATATTACTAAGCTATAGCTCTTCTAAATAAAAAGATAAACTAACGAGAATATAGTAAGAAAATAATATTCCTTTCTAGATTATATTACTAATAGTTTATATAATAATATATAAATTTAGATTTAGATTTTTATAAGATGAAACTATAAGATCTAGATTTTAGATTACTAAAAATAGTATGCTAAGGCCTAAAAAATGCTAAAATTGTTAAACTTCTAAATTAGACTTTTAGGCTATATAGCCTATAAATTCAATAGGTAACGACTAGAAATTTTATTATTTTCTAAAAATAGATACAAATTAGAGTATTTTTGTTCTACATTGTTAAGCTATAACTCCTCTATATAAAAAGATATATTAAAAAGAACTTGAAGGAGCAAAGATTGCGTTGTTGTCGCTACGGTCAGAAGTGCTGTATTGACAATCTGGTACGTATGGGCCTCCCTAGTTGAGTTGAGTGAGGTCAATTCGTAGGGGGAAAAAAACGTTAAGTTTTTTTTTTACTGTAGATTTTACTAGGGACTGTGCTGACATTTTTTTTTTTTAGAATTCTAGTAGTTGTGAACATATATAATCTGTTCTATATGTTTGCGAGCATAAATTCTGTTGGATTTGTCTTGCTAATTATAAGCTAATCCTTAGAGAAGGGAATCACTTTTATAAGAAGCACTGCTCTTTCTAGAGGGCTATCGATAGGAACAGCGCCGGCTAGAACGAGGTTTGCGGAAGACCGCACGGCAAGGGATCAATTTGTAGTGCGAGTTTCTAAGGCGGTTAATATAGATGTACATTTTGCTAGTAGTAGCGAAGTGGAGGATCGTAGAAGAAATAGTTCTTCTAGCTAATTATAGCGGGAAGGTTCTTATCTAGACAGGCCTCGTTCGTAAGAGGGTAGTATAGACTGTAAATGTAATCTTAATTAACTAGTTGTTCGTCTCTACGGGTCTAGCTATAGGACAGACAGCTCTAAGGGCCTTCCACTTTTATATAAAATACCCTACCTCCGTTTAGGCCTTTATATATTAAGGATTACGTTCCGCGGTAGTGAATTAGTCAGATTGCACGTAATAGATTTAAATAAATTAGGGCTAGCTTCCGTCTTTCCGAACAACTAATTATATACTACTCTACCTAATCCTTTACCTAAAGGCCTAAAGCTAAACCGCTAATTTTTATCGTAGATTCCGCTATTAAAATACGATCTCGCTATACTAACGATAACTAGCAAATCCAATACGAGGAGGTTGTAGCCCTGCTAATTGCGAGTCTAACGATCTAAAAATCTCGTATATACGACGTATGCGCGCTAAGTTATACTAATTTAGCTAAGCCTACTTCTATAGCTTTCCGCCTATCTAAATATACCGATTCTCAATATATCGCTATATACTAAGTTAACACCTAGAGGTCCTTAATTAGGGCTATCCGACTAACTTCTTCGCTATACGTACCTATACGCGACTTCTCGCTATTAAGTTCTCGTCTACGTCGGAAACAGCGGTAGCAATATCCCTCTTTATTTTTGACTAAACTAACTCGAGGCCCTTCGGAAGGTACTTCTAATCGACTTCCTTGCTAGATATAACTGCGCCCGGTATAGTAGTACTAAGTTCTCGTTACTTTGCCGACGCTAGTTACTAGCGACTTAGAAGGTTCGAAATAGATTATTACTAACCTACTTAAGACCTATACGAGCTCGTATACCTAGTATTTCCGAATAACTTTGCTATAACCGGTATACCTCTATAGACTATCGTTGCTAAGATATAGCTAAGTAGTAGACGCGACTCGAGCTAGTAATTCGAGTTAGTACTCCGAATACTAAATAATACTAACTACTACTAACTACTACTAACTAACACCTATACGACCTATACGACCTATACGACCTATATAGTATCGCTAATATAAGCGACTCTAACTTAACTAATTAACCTAATACTTCGGAGCTTAATCGTCGTCTAGGTAGAGGCGCTTAGGGCAGAGACGCTTAGTATACTTCTTCTTCTTATCTCTCTAATGTTCTAGCTATATCCGAGCTCGATCGATATTTAGGCAGAGGCGCTTAGGGCGGAGGCGCTTAGTATGCTTCTTCTTCTTATCTCTCTAATATTCTAGCTATATCTAAACTCGATCGGCGTAGCGAAGACAATACCGCCTTGCCGACTCGACTAGAATATAATAAAGATAAAGACGAGGATATAGTTATACTAGAGGATCTAGATCTACTAGGACAGACGTCCGACCTGCTAATCTATATAGTCGATTAAAATCGCCGCTGCTAGCGCTAGTATTATAGCGACTATTATAACTCTAAGTATATACTAGGCGATAAAGATCGCTTAGCTACTCGACGCTAGCCTGTCCGCTAACCTATCTATTAGCCTAAGCGGTCTGCTCGCTGCCTAAGAAATGCTAATCTTAACGTTATATACGCTTAGCTAGTTAATAATAGTCTAACTAAAGACAAGGATACTAATATAGATAAAGACTCGCAGAGCGAGGGCGAGTTAGAGATCGAGAGTCGTACTAGTAATGCCTCTAACGACGACGATAACGATTAGCCTAGATAGCGGCCTAGTAAGCGCGGCCTCGATAAGATAAACGACGAGGAAGAGGGCGTACTCGATCCTGCTAGCCTCCGTAGTCCACGTCGTACGCTAAAGCAGAAGTACACTATTACTATATAGCAACTCGCGTAGCTTAGATTGCTAATAGAGAAGATAATGTTTATATAGTTCGGTAAGGCGGGTACAAAGACCTACCGTAAGCGTATATAGGCTATTTAAGATATATTGCCGAATAAGCACCTTATTAGTGCTGTTTAGTTACGTACTAAGGTTAAGAACTTAATTAGCAAGAAGTTCTTTAATGCCTACAAG